TTCCAGCCATCCCTGACCTTGCTCCAGTCCCCCCTCCTCGTGGTCCCAGGACCCACCCAACCCCAAGTCTGACGAGGTCCCTGCACTTGAGGTGGCACATCCAGCCGCCCCCGATGCCCTGGCTGAACTGGTTCCGGGTGGCCTTATATGCGAGATAGCATCCAAGCAGTCTAGACGCTATCTTTCGAAAAAGCAGATTGGTTTTTTGATGTCCTTGGCCAGTGTAGACGCTCTCTTTCAGAAGTAGTTTTTTCGGAAGATCTCTTCCCGAAAAGCTTCTTCCAAAAGAAGACTGCAGTCTATATGTAGCCTTTCTTTTTTAGGAAACCTTCCATCTAACTATCCTGCTTTGTATCTGTTAAGAGAGAACTCAACTGAAGTTTCTAGTAAATTTTGTTTGCCAAGCTAAGAGCAAATGATATTTCAGTCTTCCATGGATGTTTCGGTGTGGTCGTAACCATGCAATAATTTTAGAAGAACCAAAATGCAAACTTCAAGAATTCTTTATAGCAGTCACTGTATCGTAGTAAGTGCAATAAAAACAATGAATCCATACCATTAAGATTCTTGTGCTGAATTGTCTGCCTTTTCAAAATTAACAAGTTAAATATAAGAACTATATATGTTAAAACAAATGATATTATGAAGTCAGTACATATGTAAATCCTAAAATTAAGCAACAGGAGTATGTGATAGTAAGTTGTACAGCTTCTTAAAGAATTTGGGCTTCCACAGTATTAGAACTTCCTTTCTAACTTTCCTTGCCACAGGCAAATGCCAAAATGTTAATGATTATTCTGGCTTTTTTTTAACTCTTCAAACTACACATTGAACCTCTCTAGTCCGGCCCCTTGGGACCTGACTAGTGCCAAACCAGAGAATTTTCTGAACTATAGGAGGTCAATATTATCTACCAGCAATGTAAACATTTCCCCTGATTATTGAGTCTTAGAAGACATTTAGGAGTAAATCACAGCTAAACAATAGCACAGAGCACTGAGAACCAGGACTGAAGGCTGTAAACAAACTTTATGGGACCATGGGAAACCTGGTCACACCCATGATAATTGGATATCCTGCTAATTAAAATCATGCCGGACCATGGATGTTGCCAGACCAGAGAGTGCCAGTCTAGAGAGGTTGAACCTGTACTATATTTTTCTCTACAAAAACCATTGCATGTTTTGTTGCTTTCTTGGTTTTGGTTATTCAATAGAGATGACTTTCACTGTTAGTTTGCCTGGTACTATACAACAAATGATGTGTACTGAAAAGTTATGGTACTGTGCTAATATACAACACTGATATTGTGCTTAAAGAACTGCACGGGATCTTTTGCAGAGGGTAAGGCAAAATGCCACATTTATTGGTAATACATATATCAATCAACACTATCAGATACATATGATAAATTACATTCTCTCTCTCTCTCTCACACACACACACACACACACACACACACGTAAATCACAGCTAAACAATAGCACAGAGCACTGAGAACCAGGACTGAAGGCTGTAAACAAACTTTATGGGACCATGGGAAACCTGGTCACACCCATGATAATTGGATATCCTGCTAATTAAAATCATGCCGGACCATGGATGTTGCCAGACCAGAGAGTGCCAGTCTAGAGAGGTTGAACCTGTACTATATTTTTCTCTACAAAAACCATTGCATGTTTTGTTGCTTTCTTGGTTTTGGTTATTCAATAGAGATGACTTTCACTGTTAGTTTGCCTGGTACTATACAACAAATGATGTGTACTGAAAAGTTATGGTACTGTGCTAATATACAACACTGATATTGTGCTTAAAGAACTGCACGGGATCTTTTGCAGAGGGTAAGGCAAAATGCCACATTTATTGGTAATACGTATATCAATCAATACTATCATATGCATATGATAAATTACATTCTCTCTCTCTCTCTCTCACACACACACACACACACACACACACACACACTTGTTGTTACCAACTAATCGCTCCCCTTAACTTCACTGGCTAGGTGAGTTAGATGGGGAGGGGAGGAGCCAGGCTTCTGACGATCTGGATCAATGCTCCAATGTTGATGAGACTCAGGGTCCTCTGCAAGACACCCCACATTTATAGAGGGGAGGAGCCAGACTTCTGCCGATCTGGATCAATGCGTCGATGTTGATGAGACCCAGGATCCTCTGCAAGACACCCCACATTTATAGTAGCTTCCCTCTCATGTATTCCCTCTATTAGTCATCTTTAGCTGCGTCACTTAGTCATTTCTGGTGACTTCTTCTGGTGACTTCTATGTCGTCCTTCATACTGCCACGTTCATCTTCAAAGAGAGTTTTTGAATTTGCCTCCAAAGAAGGTGCTTGCTTATGACTCCCAAGGCTTTCAATATGTCTGATCTTTCTCAATGAGTCCATCTGACAGGTCTTCTTATCCTTGGATCTGGTCCTATTCCCTTCTCCAACTGTTGCAGTTGTTCGGAGGTGCTTCCTTCCACACCTTATTCATTCACACCTCATTCAACAGAGCAATCAAGCAAAAGTGGAGAGATCTATTCTACTTCTAAACAAAGATATTTTCTGTACCTTAACTATTCCTAATGACTATAAAATTATAAAAAGACTTACAAAATTGTATGAAAATCCTTAAGACAAAGTTATATAAAAATGATATAAAGTTATATGAAAAAGTGCTTAATACAAAGTTTCTATAAAACATTATACTACTATTTATCTACAATATGGCAGAGAAAGTTTATCAAAAGTTCTCCGTGTCCACTGGAGGTAGAACAAGAAGTAATGGGCTTAATCTGCAGCACTGGAGATTTAAGTTAGATATTAAGAAAAACATACTAACTATAAGATTAGATAAGCTCTGGAACAAGCTTCCACTGGAGTCTGTGAAATCCCCATCTTTGTAACAAATGACGTGTACTGAAAAGTTATGGTACTGCGCTAATATACAACACTGATATTGCGCTTAAAGAACTGCACGGGATCTTTTGCAGAGGGTAAGGCAAAATGCCACATTTATTGGTAATACATATATCAATCAACACTATCAGATACATATGATAAATTACATTCTCTCTCTCTCTCTCACACACACACACACACACACACACACACTCTTGTTGTTACCAACTTATTGCTCCCCTTAACTTCACTGGCCAGGTGAGTTAGACGGGGAGGGGAGGAGCCAGACTTCTGCCGATCTGGATCAATGCGTCGATGTTGATGAGACCCAGGATCCTCTGCAAGACACCCCACATTTATAGTAGCTTCCCTCTCATGTAGATCTATTAGTCATCTTTAGCTGTGTCACTTAGTCATTTCTGGTGACTTCTATGTCGTCCTTCATACTGCCACGTTCATCTTCAAAGAGAGTTTTTGAATTTGCCTCCAAAGAAGGTGCTTGCTTATGACTCCCAAGGCTGTCAATATGTCTGATCTTTCTCAATGAGTCCATCTGACAGGTCTTCTTATCCTTGGATCTGGTCCTATTCCCTTCTCCAACTGTTGCAGTTGTTCGGAGGTGCTTCCTTCCACACCTTATTCATTCACACCTCATTCAACAGAGCAATCAAGCAAAAGTGGAGAGATCTAACAGGTCTTATTCTTGGATCTGGTCCTATTCCCTTCTCCAGACAGGTCTTCTTATCCTTGGATCTGGTCCTATTCCCTTCTCCAACTGTTGCAGTTGTTCGGAGGTGCTTCCTTCCACACCTTATTCATTCACACCTCATTCAACAGAGCAATCAAGCAAAAGTGGAGAGATCTATTCTACTTCTAAAACAAAGATATTTTCTGTACCTTAACTATTCCTAATGACTATAAAATTATAAAAAGACTTACAAAATTGTATGAAAATCCTTAAGACAAAGTTATATAAAAATGATATAAAGTTATATGAAAAAGTGCTTAATACAAAGTTTCTATAAAACATTATACTACTATTTATCTACAATATGGCAGAGAAAGTTTATCAAAAGTTCTCCGTGTCCACTGGAGGTAGAACAAGAAGTAATGGGCTTAATCTGCAGCACTGGAGATTTAAGTTAGATATTAAGAAATACATACTAACTATAAGATTAGATAAGCTCTGGAACAAGCTTCCACTGGAGTCTGTGAAATCCCCATCTTTGGAAGTTTTTAAAAACAGGTTGGACAAACACCTGTCAGGGATTGTCTGGTTTCACATGTTCCTGCCTTTGCCTGGAGGGCTGGACAAGATGACCTCTCAAAGTTCCTTTCAGCTCTATATTTTTATGCTTCCATGAGTTAGTCATGGGCCAATGTGCAAAAGCCAAAAAGCATCACAATAAAACTTAAAAATAAACAGAAAATTCTAAAATTTAGAAAAACTAAATACACGATAAAAAAGACACACAGCATTAGTCTGTATGGGTACTTCTACACTGCAATGCTATTTTGGGATACCGGAGTATCTCAAAAAAGCTATCCCCATATCTTCACAGCAAGCCCGTTATTTCGGTCTCGCTATTTCAACATCCCTGTAAACCTCATTCTACGAGGTGTATGGGACATTTCAGAATAGTGTTTTATTTCTAAATAAATGACAAAATAAGCTATTTTGAAATAGCATCGAAATAATATATGCAATTTGCAAAGCTCAAATTGTGTATCTTATTTTGACTTACAATGCAGTGTAGATGCACCCTATGTGATTATCATAGTACTAGCTTCTTCCTTATACAATAAATATTGTGATAACATACCTATCTATACATAGTAATATAAATAAGTATTTGATATTGGTCACCTTAAAACATAATCTTCCTTCTTACTTTCCCTGAAAAGATCAAAATCAAATTATAGGTTGCAATTACGTATAGACAATTTTGTATCTTTCAGTAATTCATTTACTAAGTCAAAAAGGAAAATAAATGTATTGTATTAACTACTCTGGAATCTACTTCCCACATACTGCTGTAAATATTAGTATTTATGTCACTAAAGTTGGTTTATACGGTCTAGTGTTGAATTTGGCTACATATTGATAAGATTATTCGCTTTTGCCCCATCCTCCTGAAAACAAAACACAACACAACAATGAAACTTGACATTACAGTTCCCCTGGTATTGTGCATAGAAATCAGAGACGGTTACAACAGAATTGTTAGATCAACCCAAATTCAACTTCCATTCAGTCTTTCTCCTGAAATTCCACCAGTACAGGCAGTCCCCGACTTAGGTGGACTCCTGAAATTCCACCAGTAGTTAAAATCAGATACAGGATTTTTCTTCACTTCCTTACTTAATCTATTGTTGACCATTAATGCTGTTAAACTCATAGATATAATTATTATTGTACTTGTGAGTGAAACGAACTAATATAAATGTAAAGCAATCTAAAAAGTATACTAAGAGGTTCCATTGTCTGCTGATGGCTTATAACTGATGAAGCAAGTTACTTTTAAAAGCAAAGGTTAATAGATCAAAAACAATTACCATGATTAGAGATTTTACAGGGTTTCATAGCATTCTAGATATTGGAATAGTTCCATCACCATCTTCCTCCCATAAGGGCTGGCTCATAATTTGTTTCTAGATTTGTTGTTATTGATATGAAAACTTAACATACCGTTTCAGTTTTATACAAATACACAAATAAGGAAAGAAGTTTCTCTGTGTTGAATATCCAATTTCCTTGCCCTTTCTAATGGGAAATAGCTTAAAAATTGTCTGAGAGGGAATTGAATAATGACAGCTGCATTGAAACAAAGTATTCAGATACAAATCAAGGACTTGAAGACTGCATATGGCAGTTGACACCAAGATTATATCAGAGTCTTGGTTGTACTTGCTCTAAGAGGAAGATTTATTATTCATTTTGGACAACTGGACTTATTTTTGCTGTCTGTTAATTTTAAGAATGTAACAGAAAAAAACTTTTTAAAATCATGCAACATTTTCTTAGAGTCCAATGGGACTTTCAACTTAATGTACTAAGCACCTTATTTTCTGGAGCAGATTGTTTTATATTTTTACCTGAATGTCATAGGCAACAAGCCCACTAAATGAAAATCCTAAGTAAAATGTCACATTTTCATTTCCTGGAGGCACTGAATCAAAATGCAAAGGCAAAATATGAATCCGCCCAGCGTGACCCCGTGCAAATACTTTTCCATTCTCTGTCCAGCCAATCACTCTTTCTAAGACACTATGAACTTCGCCTATTTTCCATACATCTCCATATAGCCACTTCATTCGTCGTTCATCTAAGGAGCCCTTTATTAATTTATCAATTTTAGTTCTATGCACAATCTTGCCTACACCACTGCCTTTTCCCAGGAAAAAATGTGTGTAGATTCTCTTTTTCCTTGGAGCAACGTTTTTCATCTTGACATCATACAAGTGCTTCATGGATCGAAGCGCAGATATGAGAATATCATCTTTCTCTGGATTACATTCTCTGTCTAATGCATCATCTGGCCAGTACAATAAAGTGAGCAAAAAATGGGCACTTGCTGGAAAAGCTGTTCTTCTCAGTTTAAAGAATCTACTGCTGAGTTCTCTAAGTGTTTGAAGTGGAAGAAGTTTGGAAGATCCAGGAGATACACATGCTAATGTGATATGAGACAAAATGTAATTGATGAGATCAATGTCCTCCAAGATTTCTTTCTCTGGATTATCTGGGTATAAGCTAATTATTTTTTCTAGCTTATTACCTGACCTCTCATCCTTTGAATCTGACAATAATGAAAGAATGGTAGAGATGCTGCCACCACCATACTTATAAATGTTCATATGTTTGACTAGCTGGGTTTCAGATTGAGAATTTTTTACCACAATAAGAGAGTCTGAGGTAAAGAATTTGGCATACACCTCGGACTGTCTTTTCAACCACCTTCTGGGATTGTAAACTTGTTCTTCCTTTTCCTCGGCCTCATTTTCTTTGTTCTGGTTTTTATCTGTTTGGAAGTAACAGAGATCTTCCGAAATCCACTCTAGAGCATCATAAATGTTCTGGCGTAAGCCTTTTAAACGACTGTGAAGCTTTCCCCACGGTTTTCTAATTTCCTCAGGAATGTAATCTGTTAGCAAATAATGCACAAGCTCAGAATGCTCCCTTTGAGGGTTTCTGGGAAATATCTTAAGAGTAGACAGAAATTTTAGTAGCCGACATCCCACTTCAACCTCGCCAAAGTAACCAGCGTTATTCATGCTGTCAATCTCTGCCTTTGCAGCCTGTTGTGCAGCCCTGAAGCATTTCATAGCTTTAAGAGCAATTTCTATCATCTGAATGACTTCATCAGGAGTGGGCTCATCTGTCTTTCTGTCCACGGTAAAACTAAACCATTTTCTGTACACTTGCCCTTCCGTATCCAAAATAAAGGAATCATTTGGCAATTGAGATTTGGCTATCCTAGCCCAAAATTCTGCATCCTCAAATCTTTCATAATTATAATGCAGTCGAGCAAGCTGCTGGGCAAAGAAGGCATCTTTTCCCAGGCATTCATAGGCAGCTTTTAAAACCTCTATCGCTTTTTCAGAATTTTCAACCTTACAAACATGCTCAATGAATGGTGAGAAGAGGCTGTCAGTATTGTCTCCTCTGCTCTTCTTGTCGCGACGTATGAACAGATCTCTGATGAACTTTATAAACTCTTCTTGTCCAAATCTATGGTGTAACAGTGATTTTTCCTGGAGAAGATTCATAGCAATTTGACTCTGAGGCTGATCTCCTAAGAGCTGATGCAGAATTTCCTTAGCAACCAGGTGATGTATGATATGGATACATGAAATATAAGTGGTATGTGCTCTTAATTCAATGAAAATAAGTCTTGCCTGTTCACTTAAGTTATTTTTAAAATCATACTCTCTCAGTCTCTTTTCGGTATATGCCCCCAGCCCTAGAAAAGCCTCACAGTGTGACAATGAAATGTATGAATTGTGTACATACGAATTGAGCAAAGCAACATACTTCATTAAATTAGTAACAAGGGAAGAAGGGTCTATGCCTTGCAACAAATGCTCTACAAACTCCCTCACATATGTTTCATTAAACTCCTCACTCATTAGGACAAATGTCAGAATAAATTCAGGTTTGAAGTCTTTCTGCTTTTTAAGTTTTTCAATTTTGGTTTTAAACAGGTGTTTCTCTTGGTCTGTCAGTTTGTGAGTGACAGCAACTGTATCAAGGGGAGAAGCTTTGCAAAGCTTTTCAGGGACATTAGATCGCTTACAACCCATAAGGATGAAACAAGGCTTGGAAAAATGACTTCTTCGAGCTGCCATTGCATCCGTTAAATCATATTTTAATTCCTCTAAATAATCTTCGTCATAGTCTTCAACCAGGAGGAGGACCGGGAGAGAATTCTTCACGTCGTTTTCATCATATTCTCTAAAATTAACTGCATGCTGGCAGACAGTTGCAACTGGGTATGTGGATTTGACCACAGCACATCTTAAATCCTTTCTTCTTTTCCATAGAACTTGCCTTGCAATGGTGCTTCCTCCACTTCCAGGTTGATGAAAGATTTTTATTTTAGCCACAGAATACCTAATTCTGTTTCCATACAAAATGTCATCTAAGATTTTATGAACCTCCTCGCAGGTCTCCCGTTCAATGACTTCTCCACAGCTCCCTTTATCAGCAAGCCAGAAATTTTTCCAGCTGACTTTTCTCCCTTGATAAAATGTCTGTTCTAATCCAGTTTGATATCGTCACATTGATTTGTACACAAAATTTCAACAATCCTCTTTGATATCATCACATTGATTTGTACACAAAATTTCAAGGGAAAACATTTTCTCTTCTTCCAGTGTTGGAAGTATACACAGACCTTTTGTAGAAACTGGTAAATGTCTGGGACATACTGTAGAAGGCATCATGTTTTGAATAGTGGCATCTACATGACTCAGCTTCATGCCCACAATACTTCTCTCTTGTAGTGTCTCAATATTACATGATGCCTGAGCTAGGTTAGCCCACTTCTCATAATTTTCTTTGGACTCTGCAATGCATATGATATAATCCATACCATTCATTTCTGTATAGAATTCCTGGAAGGTATCTACTATGGGCTTCTCCACAGGTGAGAACAGGAGGAAAAGTACCACAAAAGATCCTTTAGGAAGGATTTCATCACAGATAAATGAAACAGCTTTCTTAAGATACTTCTTTTTCGTTCTAATCCAAGTATTGTCATCACAAGGTTTTTCATCCCCACGGAAGTCACTACGTCCATTACAAAATATCCAGGTGGTATAATCATCTAGGCCCAAATGTTTTTTAAATTCGGTGGTGTTCATCTTGTTTTCATTGGCATAATTTTGCAAGAAATGCAAATTTGTTGTATGGTGCTCTTTGTATCTGGCATGTAAACCCGATACACTGGAATCCTCATCAAAATCAAATACACAGAAAATATTCATGCGCATTAAAAAGTTGATAGACTTAAGATCTTCCTTTCCACATCTGTTTGTGACAAGGATGTAACTCAGGTAGTCATCTATATAGTTCTTGCCATCATTTAATAGGACTAATAACTTACGCCCTAAATTTTGGGATATTTCCATAGCATCCTCATTACTAGAGGACTCGGCCATTTCTCTTCTGACATCCCTCTCTTGTGAACCCAGAGTAAAATCCGTTTGTTCTTCATTCTTTACAGGTTCAGATTTGGCATTAAGTCTTTGATAGAGAACTGGTTTTTTTTCATAGATGGTCTTATTGCTTTCTTCATTAAATCTAGGTAAGCATACTTCAAAAATCTTCCCCTTCACTGTACTGTATGATGGTTCAATGTCAACCTCCACAACAAAGCTCTGGTCTTCAGTGTCCTTCTCAATCACTTCAGTAAAAACAGGAGGGCGAATGCAATTCCTTGCAGCTTCTTGGTCAGATGCACTGAAACATTTTGCAATGTTTTTATCCAGGGCATCAACATAGATGTCTCTGTTGCTAACTGGAACCCCTATTATCTGCCCATGTTCATAATCCTTGTCACCTTCAAACCTGTCCATGACACCAAAGTGTATCGTTCCATTACTTCGGATATTCATGCAGGCTGAGGCAAATCGAATCACTTCGAAGGCAAACTTTGCTTGCAGCCGTGGCTGGTCGAGCTCTGCAGCAATAACAAAAGATTTGTATTCGTGGCAAGGAGTGATCAAATCAATGACTCCTGTTTCAGGAGATAAGACTGTGTTTTTCACATACTTAAAATTAATATCTTGAGTACCAAATGGTCGAAATCTGCTGAGAGTTAAAGCTTGGGCTCTTTTTTTATGCACTGAATGACTTGTTCCATTTTCTGATTTGATAAGAGCAGACAGTGATTTTTCTGTCTCTTCCCTCCTAGACTCTTCTACTGTACCAGAGATGTCTATTTCTGAAGCTGTGTTCTGGTGAGATGTTGCTTGACAACTTGCTACATTTTTAGGCCCTGTGATTTGGTTGGTTTTTGTGCTACTCTCTCTCTTTTCAGCGGGCACATTAGTCATTGCAGGTATATTAGAATTCTTGGCTTTCACTTTCTTTTTCTGAGCATGAGTTGTGCTACCAGGGTGACTCAAAATTTCTGTAGCCTTAAAGGTGGGATTTTCTGCTTGCTCTGCACTTGTTTTTTTGCTCAAATATTCCAAAAGTTCATCTCTCTCACATATAAGTACATAGATTTGGCCTTCTTTCATACCAATGTTTTTGAGGAAAGATTCATTTATTTTTCTAAGCACCGGACCAGTTACTTCTACTTCCCTTAGCTTTTTCACATATTCCTCTTTTATTCCAATGGACTCTAGCCAAGCACTGACGTGATACTCATTCCACATCGCCACAGGTAACGTTTTGTAGTCTGAGAATAAAGTAAGTGTTAATAAAAGTAAATAATACTATTAAAAATAAAATAATGGTCATCATAAAGCAGACAAAAAGTGAGGTTCAGTTCAGAGCAATTCACTGTGCTGTGTTCTCATAGCTGTGTTCTTCTGAGAGAGAGCATGCATGCCCACATATGCATGGGTTCTGGACTGAGTATAAAATTGGGGATCGGGAACTTCTACATTCTAATCCCAATTGTCACTCATTGGCTTCTAGCATGGCGCAAGTCACTTAGCCATTGTGAGTCTGAGCTTCCCAATCTGTAAAATGGGAATAATACCTACTTACTCAGGTTGCAGGGCCATTGAGAGGATTCACAATTGAGTACCATACAGTGGATATGTATAAAGCTATATTAAGGCTAAACATGGCCTTTCAGACATTTACTTGTACTTATATGTTTAAAAATAATTATGGGAAAATATTTTAAAAGCAAAGTACATACCCATTTTCTCTTGAAGTGGGTTTTCCCCCCACTGATAAGTGAAGATCTAAGGTAGAAGAAAACATACATAATGTGTTACAGAAAATAATTTCCCCATTGTCAAGACTGTGTTTTTTTTTAACAATGTATCTTTTTATATGTAAATTATTAAATCATTTTCTGAATCCTGGGTTGCCATCTAGGCACACTGCTTTTCATGGTGTGAGATAAAAGTGGTGGAAAACAAAGCCAGTAATGCATATAAATTAACATAGCTCATTAGTCATGAATGTGGGAGCTTAAATTCATAACTCTCAAAACTCCTGGGCTGAATGGAGACACTGGACTTACAGCTTATTTCAACAATCTATAACCTACCAAGCACCCATGGAGCTGTTCCCTTCTCCCCCTCTTTTCTCCCTATCACTGGAGGGGTATCAATGCTCCACCTCAGCTTGAATGGTGCCTTGAAATCAGGGATGTTAAATTGTGGATAATCAGCTAAACAAGTAGTTGATGCAATTTCCTTTGACTACGCGATTAGTCGATAAGGGGGAGAGGGCACTCGCTACCCTGCTACAGCCCTGCAGTCTGGCTCCTACTGAGGCAGCCCAGCTCCTACTACATTTAAACAGAAGAGCTGTAGTGGGGCTAACTCCTGAGGGCGGTGTGAGCTGGGGCTAAGCAGTCCTGGCTTGCGCCACCCCCCGGAGCTAACCCTGCTGCGGCTCT